CTGTGCATCATTATTATATCAATGTGCAGCTCTTGTGGTGGGAGTGACAGATCAATCTCAACAAAGCAACTTGTTTCTGTCCTTTTTGTTTTAACTTACTTTTAACTGGGAAGGACTCTGCATTGGGTTTTATTTACTCTGCCTAAAGCCTTTGGCACCCCTGTCTGCGAGGTGTGCATGCTTTTGGCAGACTGTGTCACTGACGTGCATCTGTTCGACCTCCTTTCCTGCTCTGTCAGTGAATTCCCTCTGAATCACTATTGACAGTGCTGCTTGTTAATGTGACAAGCATTCAGGTGAAACGCATTTGCTAACGAAATGGGTATTTGCAATGGAAAGGGTGAGGTGTGGTTTGGGGTCATCTAGATGAGCTGAGTTTGTTTGTGGCTAGTCCTAGGGCAGGACCTCTGCAAGCTACTGGGATCAGTGAATACTGTCATGAAGCTCTGGTCTGGGAGGTCCTGCCTGGGGTGAGCCCCAGGGGTTTCCTCAGCAGCAGAGCGGAAAGCACGGAGGAAGGGGAGTCCCAGCAAGGGGTTTTGTGCTGCTCTCCAAGGAGTTGAGTGAGAGACGGCTCTAGCGCAAGTTTCCTTTGGCAAGTCAAAGGGGTTGATCTACTAGAAAAAGATGTCCTGGGAAACATTGTTCCTTCTCCCCTTCCCTGATTCATTTTTAAAGCCCTAGGAGTGGCATTTAGCACATAGAGGCTTCTGACCCCTTTGGTGACACTTCTTGGGGCACTAGATTTCTGTGCTGTCCTTCAGCATCATCGCAGAACTGAGAGGGGGAGGTATACCAACTGATCAGCCCCCCCAGACTCAGTCCAGCTTGAACAGCTGATGGAGATGAGCTTGCATGAAAACAACATGCCTGGGAGAGGCTGAAGGCTTGACAGCCATTGCAGGGCTGTGGCTTTAGGAGGGGATGATTGAGGTCGCGGTAGCTGTCTGTGAGGAATGTGAGTTGCGGGGAGGATTTGTGTGTTGAAAGCAGAATGCAGCAGTTTGCTGATAAATGATCCGCTTTTCTTCCTTTCCACCTCAATTTGTCATCTGAGGACTGAAAGACCTGTTGGCCAGTGCCAAAAGAAACAGTGAGTGGAATTTCACTTTTTTCCTCTCAGAGTCCATGCCTATAAGTCTACTTGCTCCCAAAGGCAAAATGCAAGGGGTAAGAAATAGAAGCTGTGGTCTTCCAAAGCCCTACAGTGGTCATTTACACTAGTGTCCCAGCCTCACGGGACATCAGTCCATCCTGCAGCAGGGTCCCTGCACAGGCAGGGTTTAACAGAGGATTCCCCGTGCTCTGTGTCAAAACATGCGGTCTCCCAATCTCATCTTGGGAGGGACTGTGGAAACACATGCACACGTGTGGCATGACGGACCTGGTGAACATCCTCAGCCCTTTGTGCCATGTTCAGAAACGTCCTTCTTTGTACTGTTCTGAAGCTGCCATGGCTGATACAAGCGCATCTCGATCTCTGGCTGTTCAGGTTTCTGGAAGAGATGGCACAACAGAGAAAAGATATTGTCTGGCTTTCGCAAGGATAAGAATGTTTGTGGTGTTGATATTTTTTTTCCGTGGAAGATTTGTCTGTGTTCAAACCATCACGCCTACTGGCTGTTTCTCAGGGTCACATTCCTGGCCTGGGGTTAGCAGAAGGTAATTGATATGTTCTTGTGAATAATGTTCTAACATACCCGCTCTTCTCTAATGAAAAGATGCAAGCTAAAATGGGAGGTTTCATAATAATTAGACTGCCTGTGCCACAAACATTCAAGCAGTCTGTCTCCTTTGCAGTGACGAATAAAACTGTTCCTGTTAAGGAAAATCTGTGCTTTATGATTTTTACAAGATACTTGGGGGAAGCTGCCTTTTGATCCATGTTGGAACTGAGTAGCATGATCTGGAAAAAACTGCACGTAATTTGCACTGTGGAAGTTTTGATACTTGAGTGAAGCAGACGGAAACCTCTGCAGGAGGGGGCTGAGCGGGGAGTTCGTGCCTCGAATCCGATCTCTTGTGTACGCATTCCTTGTCGGTAATGGAGGACGTGCCATGTGGCTGAGCAGGTCCTGAGCAAACAAACTCTCTCGCAGAAGTGCTTGCCTGCTTTGGGATGGGTACATGTTGTACTTAAAGCACAGCAGGTTTCTGGCTGTATTCAGAGCACCGTTCTGTGTTCAGCACCCCCTGCAAACTGGTACAGGGTTGGAGCAACCTTGAAATCAGCTCTGCGCTCCTCCCAAGCGTGCAAGCTGGGCTGCTCCTTGCTCAAACATCATGTGTGCAGCATTGCACTGTGTTGCTTTGTATGTCTCTGTGGGATAGCCCTGCCCAACGCGTTGCACAGTGTGTGTCATGCCACTCCCTTGACCCTCCAGATCCTGCCCGTGTGCTGAAGTCACTTTCCCAGTGTTGTTCTGTGCAATGGTCTGATGTTTTTGCATCTGTGGGAGTCAGGCTCACCCCAGCTGATCAGTCACGTTGCTGCCCTGAAGGAACTTGTGGGGAGGAAAAAGGACGCTAAGGGGAGCTGTAGCTTCTGGAGGGAGCAAAGGCATTTGGGTGAAAGCTCAGTTTTAATGAAGACCGTTCACTTGAAGAGTCATAACCAGCATTTTTGGTGGGCTGCTCCTGTATACTTGCGTGTTCCACCACTGTCACTTTTTTCTCCTCTGCTGCGGGCTCCTTTGCTGGTGAGCTGCCTGCAGAGATCTCGTACAGCTTTGTATTTAATTGATACACACCAAGCTGTCTGCTGAGCCTTGTCTTGCTTAGCAAAAGCAAAAGATGCTACAGCATCATTCTGAATCCAGGACCACAATGCAGTCATGTTCATGGGGTGGCTCACCTCCTGGTCTGGGAGATGGAGTGGTATTGTGTGCTGAAGTAGAAAGAGCCCAGAGCTGAAAAATTCCAAAGACTTGGAGGAGTTTGAAGTTGAATTTTATACACAGGAGCATTATATTTAGCTATAGGCGGAAGAAAACCTAAAAGCTAACCATGCAGAGTCCCCAGCTGTGTTATTTAGGGGCAAGGAAAAGGGAAAAGCAAAGGATTTACTGTTCTAACAAGGCAGAAACTCTCCTCGTTCGTCTCTGATCAGAACCCTTCTGTGTTTCCAGTTGGCAACTTTGTCAAGAGTGGGAGTTGAAAGCCAGTTTCCTAGCCCACCAGCTGCGTCGTGTCATAAAAGGCAAAGCAGATAATAACGTATGCAACTCTCATAGTGTAGCCCAAATTTTGGGTGGATGCAAAATAGTGAGTCCCCATGTTTATTAAGGAACCAGCATGGGTCATATGGCTTAGGCTGTTGATTTACAAACGATGTTTCTTTTTTACTCCTGCCTGTGTGAAAGAGCCTTAATAAATTAGATGTTTTTCAGCAAGCCTTCTCTGCAAGAAAACAAGTGATAATAGGGTTTAGCACCTCTGGGAGCAATGGGGCAGGTAGAGAAATACAGCCACCTCTGCGGGGGAATGGGCAGTTGTTTCGAGGTGAGCAGCAATAGAAAATGGTTCAAGACTGGGAATCACCATGTCCAAAAGTGAAAAACCAGAGATGATCTGTATGTTATCATACTGTAATTACCCAAGCAGATATTTGGTTAAACAGAAAGATGAAACCACGTGCTTAGAGTTGATGGGAAATTCCTGTGAGTCCTTAAAATTCACCATTAGCAGGCTCATTAATTTTTTGCTTCCTCCAAAATGCCCCCCTTGCCCTGCTGCTGTTCATCTCCTTCAGTAGCAAAGCGGTCCTGGGTCTAGCTTCAATACCAACTTTAAAGAGTGCAGCTGCGTCTCTCATCCTAGTGAGTTCCCCGTGGGGCTGTCCTATTCTGGTCACGTCCAACCTTGCTTTCCTTGCACGTAATGCCCTCCTCTTCTCATTAACAAACCTCACAGCGCTTCACAAAGACCGTCAGCCCTTCCTGGCCTCCCGACGGGGAATCGGGAGGATCGGGAGGTTTGGCAAAGCAAAGTGACTTTCCAAAGGCTGTGCCACAGCCTTGTGGCAGGCCAGCCCCTGAGCGGGTGTGCTCAGCATCCCGTCCTTTTGGAGAACATTAGCATCACAAAAGTTAGGGCAGGATCTTAGGGAAGGGAGTATACCCCAGCTCCCAGTGGATTTCCCACATGAACTCCGAGATGTCATTCACTCCCATGCTCACAAGCACCACGACGCGAGTTTGACAGGTCTGGCGAGGGAGTGTGTGACACAGGATAAGGGACACAGCTGAGTCGTCATCGTGTCTCTGGTATTCGTCTCGTAATCTTCCTGTCTTGTGATGACGAATGGATTTTGGGCAGTGTTTTATTTTGCTAGGAGTGGCCCTTTGCTGTTATCTAATTGTAGCACTAGGAGGAAGAGGGCTGGCATGCGAGATATGCTGCAGCCTTGCTGTATCCTCCTGATGGTAGAGCGGGGTCTTCTATTAGTGAGCTGTTCCTGCTGCCTCGATACCCGAGCATGGCTTTCTGGCCTCGACACATCCCTCTATTCAAGCAACTGGGAGCGGCAGTCCTTTGTTATCGGTCTCTGCGCCCTTGGTCTGCTGTTGCTTCTTCTGCGTTCTTACACACACATATTTTTGTTCTTATTTCATTCGTATCAACCTTAATATTCCTCTTACAAGTCTCTGTGACAAGTTGATTGCAAGGCTTGGGTCAGCTGCAGCTTTTCTCAAGAGCCTGAAGGTGAACAAAGCCATCAGACTCCCACCTTCCCCTTACAGAAGGAGGGGGGGGGGAAAAAGCAAGAAGAACCAAAAACCCCAGCAAAGCCTGCAGGACTGCTGAAGGTCAGGCGCTAAATGAACAGAGTCACTCTGGATTTTTTTTTAATGAGATTTGCTTCCTAGGAAGTTAAACGTAGTCCCGCCCTCTGTTTCAGTCATTGGCTGCCCGGGATGCTGCCCACTCTTTTGTATAAGGCAAGCGATGCAGCTGTCAGCCTCACAAGCTCATGATCTCTGCTCGCTGAATAAGTAGAAATGGGCAGGAGGTCACCCGTTACCCTCTTCGTGGCCCTGTGGGCCAGCCAGCTGGGCATGTGGGCAGCGGGGCGGTCCAAGGTGAACCCCAGGATCATCACAGCTCCGCAAGGTAAGTCCCGGGCTGCAGTCGGCTGCAACCTTGAGATGCAGCAGCAGCAGTGTTTGCAGCTGACAACTACTCCCTGCACCGTGTATTTTCTACCTATGTCTTGTCTTTTGAGAAGAGTTGGTCTTTTTTTATTTCTTTTTTCTCTTCGGGGAGACTTTTGACTCTCATTAAAATGAGCTAAAACGCCTGTGATCTCAGGAAGGGGCTTCTGGCTTCCTTGACTGCTTTTAATTGAATTTTTAGATCCCTGTTCTTGCAAAGTCCTTTCCTTTATATATTCTAAAAACATTTTCCTACAAGCTGGGTATATTAAAGGCTGTCGAAAAGCCCTGAAACAGACACAGTAACCATTTCCGCTAACTTGTAGGGAGAAATGGAGAAGTGTATTTGCATAATACAGTTAATTTTCTTATTCATGTGATGTACTTATTCTGTTAGCTGCAAGTAAATATTTGCAGAAGATCTCCATTCTCTGAGAAAATATATACATCTGAAATGGCACGCAAGGACTTATAATCAGATCTGATTTTAGCAGAAACTGAACAAAGAAATGTTTTCAAGGAGCAAGCTTAGAGCACAGCCCAAGCTTCATGTGTTGAAAAGAGCAGACTAACGTTTACTGGTTTTATCATGTGTCTTCCAAGCTTTTTGATTAATACCCTCCAGGGAGGCTTTAACAAAAGACCCCGTCTTGTCCCCGGCGGTTCTGGTGTTTGGCTAAGCCGGCGGGTTCAGCTGAGCTGCGGATCTCACGCTGCTCTGCAGTACAACAGCTTCTCTGTGTTTCCTATTCGCCGACAACTTCAGAGGACACGAATTTCCCGTGGTTTATTCTGCGCCATCTGTTATTCTTCTGCCGTTACGTGTTATGCCCTTCTTCTTCTTCAGGCCCATCTCTGCCTGCGGATGAAGGGCCAGGAGCAGAGGGAAGGGCGGTGGGTGCGTGGCTCGGAGGTGGCCTCTGCCCGTCGCACAAAAGGGAGAGACACCGGCAGGGAGGGCAGCGAAAGGTTGCTCCTAGTATTGCGTCATTTGTTTTATTCGCTGGGAAATGGAGCAGCTCAGAAAGCGGGATGCGAGAGGGGGAGAAGGCACGGAGCCCGAGACTGAACAGAGGATGGGGGTCACATCTTTCGCCATAGACGTTTCCCCCGTGCCGCTTAGGGGAGGAAGGAGGAAAGTTGAATTACAGGGGTCTGGTGTGTTTGGAAATGCCTGTCCTGGAGTAATACTATGCTGAGGGGGAAGAGCGAGCTTGGGTGGTTGATTTCTACCTGTGCTTGGCATGCACACACAGTACGGTCATTTCACCTTTCCCTGCATCTGTGTCAGACGGTGGCTTTCCCGGCACTGAACACAGCAAGGATCTGTCACCGAGGAACACCAAAGCCAATTAGTGTTAGGACACTTCCCTGCAAGGGGATCAGCTTATGCTTATCTCTGTTTCTCTTTTTTTTTGAGTGACAGCTTAGCTGGGACACAGGCCAAGAGGGATTTCAGTTAGGGAGGTATCAGAGGTAGCTGTGTGGCACGCTCATTAAGAGTCACTCATGTGTCCTATTTAACAGATTGCATTTTGCTCGGCGTAACCTCTACCCTTTAGGAAGTGGGTCTGAGGGTGAGGAGGAGGGTGAAGAGGAGGCTCTGGAGGAGAGTGAAGAAATGGGACAGGGGCAAAGGGGACGCGGTGGGCAGCAGGGAGCCCTCTAACTTCCCCAATGCTCCAGGCACAGTGAAAGGCAAGCACAGCATCTTTAAGCAGGTCAGCACGCTGCTGCTGTTTGCATCCACGTATAGAGGCTCGTGCCTCGCCGTGGGGGTGACGGTGTTGCAGGGCTCGGTTTGCGGCTGGAGCCCTGGTCCTGGAGATTGGGATCAGGATGGAGAAGAGCAGCAGTGCGGGACATTTCCATGGGTGTTCGTGCCGGGGCTGGGCCTGGTGTGCTGCGTTTGCCGTGGTGCAGCGCTGGCCTCAGCCCTGGGCTCTGCGGGAGCTGGCAGCTCTTCGCATAATTAAATTTCTTACACGCCACAGCCCGTCACTAGCACCAGGTATGGCAGCCTCAGCAAAGACACCTAGACACGTTACAGCCTTGCGGGCGAAAGGAGATATTCCTGGTGCTGGCTGGAGCCCAGCTCTCTCCGGGAGGGAAGAGTACGTGTGTGGGATCCCTCCCTGGGCTGCGGTGCTGGGGGAGAGGAGGAAATTGGTGCTGGGCAAAGCTGCAGCTGCCCTTCCATCTCTTGCTCCCCTCGCCAGGACCCTGCCAGACCTGGGGAGAGAGCCCTGGCCTCGCTGCAGGCAGCCTGAACTACTCTGCTGTTTCGCCCCGTGGTCCCTCCTTGTCCAGTTTCTTAGCAAGAAATAGGTGAGGGGACACTGTGAGCTGGGAAGAAAATGCAGCTGGGCTTAGGTGGCACGATCCTGAGCTCCGATCTGAAGACAAAGAAACCGAGTTGGCCTGTCTTGGTGCTTGGAGCTGCCTGGGTTTAAGTAATTTCACAGTCCTGGGGACTTGGACTTGCGGCGGTGGGTGGCTGGAGCACCATGCTCTGCAGATCTGCCTTTCTGTGAATGCAGTGCGTATAAAGCCAGCCCCGAGGCCTCGGCCGCAGCTGCTGTTCTGCCTTTATTTTGCCTCCCTGATGCCGCAGCGCAGTGCAGGAGGGGGTAAGGAAGGGGCATGCTTTTCCCCAACATCAGCCCCGTTTCAACGCGTGCTTGGGAGCGTTCGTCACCGAAGGCAGGGTGAGGGATCCCTGGAGCCCTCCCAGCAGCCGGCACAGGTGGCCAGCTCTCAGGTCCAGCTGGGTAAGCAGTTATTTGAAAGCACGTCTGACTCTGCAGGATTCCTTCCTCTTAGGGGAAAGACACTCAGAGCAAAGGGCTGAGGTCAGCTCCAGACCACTGGTCATATCTGAAGTGCTTAAGATCCTTTTTTACTGACAAGGACTTTGCCCCCCTTCCCCTTTGCAGCTGACCCAGCACACAGATGGGTCAGGGTCTCTTCTGGCTAGTACCCTCCCCAGTGTCCTAACGAAGGAAGATTCTAAATGGCAAGTTCCCTATCTGTTGAGATTTGCAGAGTGGGAGTGTGTTCAGTCTTAGCAGCCTGGGCTGGTGCAGAAGCAAGTGCTTCAACCTTGCACGCTGTGTTCTTGCTTATCTTCCCTTTTATTTCTATCCTCCCCCTGCCTCCATTTGAACTAAATGCTGACCAGCTGGGCTTTGCTTTGAAAAAGGTGCATTCACATCCCACACTGAGCTTTTGCTTGTCAGCACAGATATCGTGTTTACTCTTCTGATCCATCTGCAGAGACGGAGACCACTGTGTCCCGGGGCTGGGCAGAGCTGTCCGGGTGACAGAGCGGGCAGATACAGCCCCTCTGTACAGAGCAGGAGGGTGGCATCCCAGGCTGCCTGCCTCATGAGTGGAAAGTCACTGAGCATCGGGAGAGCAGAGGAGTGCAGTGAGGACAACAAGAGCCTGAGGGCTGGGTCAGGCTCCTGTAGCCTGGGGCCTTTGGTGCAGAACAGGAATAATTTTTAGCTACTGCCATGCTTAAGATTGTCTTGTCCCTGTTTACTCACATGTGCGTAGGTCCGAGACAAACTCACAGCCCCTCTCTGGTTGCCTGCTGCTTTTACACCTTCGGGTAGGATAGGGTCTGGCAGTTTCATTATTCCCCTCTTTCTCATTAACAGATGAGGCTGGAAGCTGGAGGGGACGGGTTCTGAGCTGGTGTGTAGCACACAGGAGATAAGCATGTCCCGCAGGGGAAAAGAAAGATTATATACTTGACCCTTGGCTGCCTCGACTGGGTGAACTGGCTCTAGCCTGCCCTGGGTCACGGGGCGAAGTCGAAATGGCAGTTCCTGGAAATTGCCCACGCTGCCCGTAGTAGCTCCTGGGCTTTGCCAAGCTCAGCTGCCTCTTCTTGCCATGGGAAAACTGTGCCAGCAAGCACCTCTGAGTGCCCTGAGAGCTCTTCTGGCAGCTCTTCATGCCCACCGGTGCAACGGTGCTGCGTTCAGCTGGCAAAGGAAGAGGAGAGCTGACCAGAGATGAGGCCAAACTCGTACTGATTGGGAGTGGTGGCAAAATGAGAGATTGTGGTGCTAGCACCAGCTTTTACTCCTCAGTGACAGTGGCACCGTTTTCTCAGGAGCCACAGTCCCCATGGGTGTGAAGCATCTTTGTAGGACAGTTTCACATGAAGCTCTCAGAGCATCAGCATTTCCAGGAGAAAGCTTCTCACTTTCCCAGCAACGCTATTTTCTGCAGACGGCTCATTTTCACAGGGTGGGTGATGCTGGTATCATAAAATGTTGGTTGAAAATATTTTTTGCTCTGCGCAGATTGAAAAAGAAAAACAAACCAAACAAACGAAGCGAGTGAATCACAACCACCTCCTGTTGCAAGAGCGTGACACAAAGACAACAGGCATGGGCGAACTAATAAAAGTTGTGGCTGCTGCACTGAAATGCTCAGGGCTGGGAAGGAGCGCCAGATGCAAATTGCTGACCCGCTGCCCAACTCTGTGCCAGCCCTCCGGCTGATTCAGGGTCAGAATTGCAAAAAATTGGCCTGGGAAGGTTTTCCGTAGTTGATGTAGTCCGTCTCAGTGCCCTAAAGCAGGACAAACTAAATCTAAGCCTGAGTACTTGAGTGCAAACTAAATCTAAGTAGTGAGTACAAGATGCTTTTTAAAGAAGCTTGTATCCAGAAAAAGGGCTGGAAGGTGAGTTGGAAGGAGGAAATTGCTTGTTTTGCAGCCAGCTCTCTCCTGTTGAGCTACATCCTATGGTGTGTGGCTATTCCTGTTGCTCCAAGAATAGGACTTGTTCCTCCTGTTGGGCACTCTTTTCTTTTCAGTCCCAGCTCCACCCGGTGTACTAGGCTGTGTCTAACTGCGTCTGGTGTCTGGTGTGACAGAGAAATGCTGCAAGAGTGCCACAGGAGCTGGATCAGAAGCACCTCCTACCATCTCTACTGATT